AGTACAATTTTCATTACAGTTGCTGCAATGAAATCTCAACAAAATGGACTAGCCTGCTGCATAATTTTTTCACATTGATTTTTGGGGTGTCTTTGAATTCAGTCCTCTGTAGGTTGATAATTTTAATTTCCATCAAACGATGGGGCATCCCGACGTTCCTAACACATTACCCAGTTCATATCAGTATAGATATCCAGCATGATATTTTTCCCCATTGAGATCTGATGTGTTTTCAAAGTGTTCCTTAAATTTTTTTGAGCAGTGTACAGTATATTTTGTCTTTAATATTGGTGCTGGTGGCATCTTATGGCACTTATTTTTGCAAATTAAAACAAATTTAGCAGTTTCATGTTTTGTTGATTTAATGTTTTTCTACTGATTAAAAAAAAACATTTTTTGGGGGGGCGCAAGTAGCTGGTCTTGCCTAGGGCACAAAATAGTCTAGCACAGGCCCTGAGTGGAGGAGTGAGAATAGCCACCCTGAGGCAGAAGATTTGTTACTGGCTGGATTTCCATGAAAATAAAGGTCCACTTTGTAGGGCATATTATCTGCTTTAGTTTATTGACCTCAAAGCAGACCTTGCATAAGAATGACAACCCCCTCCCAAGTAGTGTTTTTTTATTTGAGGGGGTGTGGGGTCTGTTAAAAATGCAGTCTTTGCATTTTCATGCAAAATCTACTCTAATTGAACTGGTAAATGGGTTCTTTAACCAGTTCACTTCCATTCCCATTTTCTTTTATAGGGTAGGCCCCTTCTACCCACACTTTGGAAAAAGGTCCCCTTCATATATTCAACTGAGTCTGATTGGATTGCTTTACCCAAAAAATGGTGATGCATAGCGAACATATATTTACTGAAAATTGGTGAAATTCGCTGAAAATGTGGATTCAAGCAAACTAATCTCCTTACCACTATCTATCTACATTAAAACTGAACTATAGGAAAACAGCTAAATATGCATATGAATATATATATATATATATATATATATATATATATATATATATATATATATATATATATATATGGCAGCTGTTCAACCGCCTAAAGGATTGATACATCTGTCCATCCAGTCCTAAGATTTCCACAGCCCTGCCTGGAAGAAGATGGGACCGGAGTTTTTCTCTGCTGCAGTATCACTTTTACTTGCAAGTCTCTCCCTATGCTTGAACAGTGAAAGAAGCAGCACACTAATGAGCACATCTCTAGGACACTCTTATCAACATGTTCCTGATTGGTTGTGTTGTATATAATATAAAAATGTAATTATGACTATATAGCTGAATTAATTTGTTTATTTTAAATCTGCCTAGTGTTCATTTTTCAAGAATTTGTAAACCCAACATTTCATATTCCTGATCAGTGCCTTCTGTACCATGTACTTCTGTGAAAAAGTATCCTGTGCTCTTTGTATTGCTTGCTTTGTTTGAAATACCTGGTGTTCCTGCCAGTCCCTCTGCTTTTCTATTAAAAGCTGACCACACTAGGCAGGAAAAGCACAGCATGGTCAGTTTATTTAGCTTTGCTTATCCAATGATCAGACTTCTGCTGACACCCCCCACACAGCCATTCACTGTGAAGATAACTGTGCTGTGGTTTCTCTCTCCAAACCAGCTCTCTGAGCTCCTTATGCAGCTGAGAACAGAGGTTATGTGATCACTTATAAAAAGGAAAAAAAAGTATTTATAATGTTTTTATATGTGAACATAAATGTGGGTTGTTTTAAAAAGGTGAGGGTTTACCTATACAGTACTTTAAAAAAAAAAGATGCAACTTTTAAATATCGTTAAATGCACATCATTAAAAACAGTATTACATGCTGTTCATACTCAGTCACTATGAGATTTGTTTTCTGTATTCTGCAATAAACCTGGTTGATCCTGCTGTTCATTGTCCCTCCCTCCTTGCCTGTGTCCCCACTGCAGCGTGAGATTGTGTAGACAAGCTGTGTAGACAAGCCATTGCCACTACTGAGAATGCTCTAGTTTCAGTTTCTTTCCAAGCCTTCCCACATGGAAGGAAATAAATTTAAAAATATATTTAAAAAATATTCTTCCCAAATATATTTGAAATGCTACAATTTTGGCCATATTCAATATTTTTATATATATATATATATATATATATATACACACATATATATATACATACATACACACTGTATGTTGAAATGTGTTTTTATATATTACAATATCTGAAAAATATTTTTTAAAAAAAAATATTTTTTAAATATATTCTTCAGATTTTTTTAACATATAAAAAAGTCATTTTAACATATATATTTACATATATTTGTAAATGCATTCCAAAAATGTAAATTAAATGTATTTGTAAAGACATTCAATATATTTGAAAATTTATTTTTTTAAATATTTTTTTTCATATATTTTGTAATATAAAAAAATGCATTTCAACATACAGTATATATATTATAATATATATATATATATATATATATATATATATATATATATATATATATATATATATATAAGGCCAAAATTGTATTATTTCAAATATTTGTCAACATATTTGGGAAGAATATTTTTAAAATATATTTCAAATATATTTTTCTTCCATGTGGGTTGTTACTATAGAGTCACACATGTGGGCGTATACACAGGGATAAATGACAGCCCACTGCCTCCCTCCTCCTCTATGCCCACTAAACAGCTCTACACTATGAGGTCAAGCTATTACATGTTAATTGATGGGGGCTCCACCTCCCTGTAATTCTGAGCACATACAAACAATAGACACAAGCTGGAGGGGCGTTAAACATGCTGTAATTGGCAGAATCTCCCCTAGATAGCCCAAACCATGTTTGCGCACAAAAATATTAAATATTTATTTGATATTATATATTTTTCCTCTATATTTTGCAGGCTGTTTTTTTTTATCATGTGACTGGCAGCAGAGGACTAGAAGCTCCTCCCACCGATATTTCCCTGCAGATAGCCTGGGAAAGAGCTTGCTCACATGAAAGCTGTATATCGATTATGAAAAAAAGTACTTAGATTATTTTCTTTTTAATTAAAATAAATACAGTGCCATCATCCATACACATAAAGAGAAGGGATAAAGGAAATTCAACAGTATGTGTTTAGTATCATTTTAAGTGCTTAAGTGGAGCTTTTTATTAGACATGTGCGATTCTGTTCATTTAGATTCCCTATTCAGGAGATTTAAATGCATTTGAATTTCTGAATGGACATAATAACCAATCTATATGAATTTGAAAAAGTTATAATGAACTTTGTGAATTTATTCAGATCATTAGGATTCACTGAAAAGAGCTGGTTGTTAAGGAGCGGACAGCCACTGGGATTCCCTGCTGTCAGCAGAATGTAAACAAAAGATGTTAAAAAAAAAACAGTGTGCCTGTGAGTGTGTTTGGGGGGAGGTGTCAGGGCTCTGTCCTTGGCAGAGGTGTTAGGAGACCTGCCACCCCTGCCAGTACCTTGCATGGCCGCAGAAGTTCACATCGGCTAAAATTTGGCACCAAACAGCCTTTATAGGGAAGCCCTGCACTACTCTCAGGTGCTGGTTGATCTCTGGCTCCCTAGTACCTTCTTTCCCTTGCTATTCTGACTTGTGATTTCCTGTTAACGACTCGGCTTGCTCCTGGACCTATCTGCTCTGTTCATCTGTTCAACCCCGACCTGACCCCAGCTTGTCTAAAGGATCTTCTCTCCTGCTCTCCGTGTATGACCTCGGCTATTCCTTTTGACTACATCTGCTCCGATCCCCACCTGGCATCCAACCTTGGCTCAAACTGGTTATCCTGTGATCTTCTGTTCTCTGGAAAGACCTGCATACCTCACACAGGCGCCCCCTGCCTGCAGACTCCATCTCAGCTCATCAGCCGTGCTCCTGGGTGAACCACCAAACAAGCACTCCCACTAGCGACCTGTGCTACTCTGGGCCTGACTCCTGCAGTCCCACCTTCAGGGGAGTCTGGAACTTAGCCACAAGGTAAGCCCTCTCTCCATTGGCCTCTGTCACCAGGTACGTGATAGGAGGTCCTCGCAAATTCATACCAGGTCCTTCAGGGAACCCCAAAATTAAAAAACAAAGTGTGGAGTCCCCCATAAAATCCACACCAGACTTTAAGGAGTACCCCATGCCAAAAAATAAAATGGTGTGGGGTTTCCCCCAAAAATCTATATCAGATTGAGACTGCAAGGGGGATGAGCGAACACCTCCACATCCCCCCGAACCACACCAGGCCACATGCTCTCAACATGGGGAGGTTCCTAGGGGCAGGGGGCTGCTCTACAAAGACACCTTGTTCCTATGCTGCTGGGGACAAGGGACAAGGGCCTCCTCCTCACAACCTTGGGTGGTGGTCGTGGGGTTCTGTGGGTTTATTGGAATCTGGAAGTCCCCTTTAACAAGAGGTCTCTCAGATCCCAGCCTTGTGAATGAGAGTATTATGTACCCCTACTCATTCAAAACAGGGGGCTGGGATCTTGGGGCTTCCAGGTTCTGATGAGCCCAGACCTGCAGACCCACAAACCCCCTCAACCACCGCCCAGTGTTGTGTGGAAGAGGCCCTTGACCCCATGAACATGGGGACAAAGTGCTTTGCTACCCCAAAGCAACCCCCATGTTGAGGATATGCAGCCTGGTATGGTTCAGGAGAGAAGGTGCTGGCTCATTCCCCCTTTTCCTGGCTTGAGGGATTTGTATGAATTTTGGGGGGAACTCACACAATTTTAACAAAAAAAAATTGTCATGGGGTTCACCTTGAAATCCATACCAGATCTAAGGGTCTGGAATGGATTTTGGAGGGGACCCCATACCTTTTTCTTCTTTTAATTTTGCCGTGGGGTTAACCCTCAAAATCCATACCAGACCCAAAGGGCCTAGTATGGATTAGGGTATGCCATACTGTTTTGTTTTTTTTTTTCATTTTGTAACTGCTTCCTGTCCTTTCAATAGCAGAAGTACTGCTGCAGCAGGGCGGCACGGGTGTGCAAAATCACGTATATATACATGATTTTGCATTTTCGGGTAGAAGGGCGCGTGTTCCTTACCCGCGCTGCCATTCCTGGCCTCAGCTGTCAATCACAGGGCCCCGGCCGGTGATTACTTGCCAACTCCTGGTGTTTGCCAAGCATCTCCATGCACAACTATGCAAAGCAGTGTGCTTGCAGTGAAGCACAAACACAGCCCAGTATGTAAAACGGCACACAGTTAACCCTTTGATCGCCCCACATGTTAACCCCTTCCTTCCCAGTACCATTAGTACAGTGTCAGTGCTTTTTATTAGCACTGATCACTGTATTGGTGTCACTGGGATGTCAGTGACACCAGGGCAGTTCCCCCCAGTGTCCGAATGTTTGCCACAGTCCCGCTATAAATCGCTGATCGCCGCCATTACTAGTAAAAATAAAATAAAATTTTAAAATCCCAGTATATATACTGCCATTTGTAAATGCTATAACTTTCACGTAAACCAATTAATTTACACGTATTGGATTTTTTATTTAGCAAAGACATGTAGTAGAATACATTTTGGCCTAAATTTATGACGAAATTAGATTTTTTAAATTTTTTTACTGGACATGTTTAATAGCAAAAAGTCAAAAACATTGTTTTTTTCTCAAAATTGTCAGTCTGTTTGTTTTATAGAGTAAAAAAAAAAAGCACAGAAGATCAAATACCACCAAAATAAATCTCTATTTATGGGAGGAAAAGGATGTTAATTTAATTTGGGTGCAGTGTTGCATGACCGCGCAATTGTCCGTTAAAGTGATGCAGCGCTGTAATGCAAAAAATAGTCTGGTCAGGAAGGGGGGTAAAGTCTCTAGAGGGCAAGTGGTTAAATTGCACTTTTTTTTCTTTACATTCTGCTGACAGTGGGGAATGCCTCTGACGGCAGATGAGTCATTGTTAAGCAATGACACAGCAACTGCCTACTCCTTAACAACCAGGCTAATCCAAATGAAACAAATTTAGAAAATAAATAGGGTCCATTAAAGAATGCATCCAAAACTAATTTTTCAGTTAACAAATGCATCCGAAAATGAAGTGTGCACATTGGTGAAAAAATACTCCAGAATTTTGATTTTCCCTTCCTTTTTTTGTTGGCTTTTTATTTTTGGAAATTTCAGTCTAAGGTAAGGAAAGACAGGGATTGCACTGTCCATGCACAGGGCTGAGATACTAGTTTTCAAAAATTACTCACAGGCTTCTGGTTTAGCACTGACATGGAGTATTGGTGACAGCTTACAGCTTAACATATATGTAAATACAGTTTCCCAATTGTGTTCCTGTCATGTCACTCTGACACACAGGCTTCTGATGGAGACTAGAAATGGGCATTTTAACATAAATTACACAAGCCCATTGACATAGCCCACTGTTTTCACAGTATCAAAATATTGTCTTGAGAAATGCCAAGCTACCATTGCTAAAATGCATGCATACAGACAGGAAATGGTTGCAAAGAGGCTGGAAAAAATCCACAGCACTGAGATGCAAAGCAGGATGAAAAAAGGTGAAAAAAAAGTATTTTATTTAAAACATTTTTTATTGTACACAATGCTTTAGCAAACTAGTTAGGGTTCATATTTTAGGTTGCTATTAGTAAAAGCGAGTGTGATTTTCTATTTCATGTTAGCTGCAGCAGGCACACATGGCAAAAAATAAAATCTGTTCCGTGTCTGCGTACAAGCAATTTCAAGTCACGTGTGGTCTATTTTTTGAGGTCAATCACAGAATTTGTCCTATGTAGGTTGTTTGTGAGCACGGGCACAAAACAATTCTGTTCATTTTGTACTATAAAATGTGCAAGTAGGATTTAGGTGTATATCAACTATGTATGAATGAACAATATGCTCAACATATTGTGAGACTAACCGAGAAAGAAAATGATTTTCTGTAGATCTTCACTAAAAGAAAAGACCATCTCTGTTTCACATATATATAATAGTATTTGCTAAAGGGTGACCACATCTTTTACCTTCATTTCTGTATAAACTGTTATTACTGGCATGGACATCAGGTCTATTTATTCAGAATACAACCTGCTTTTTTACATACTTTCTATGCAGTCACTGATTTAACTTTCTGCTTGTAGTTCTATCTGGGATTAAATGTGGCTCTAAAAATGTTTCTTCTTCCCCACTGCACAAATACTAGTTTACAGGGTCTTTTTTATCCTTATTTTTGCAGCCTTGAAGGTAAGTGCTTGGATTTCTACATCTTGATCTTTAATTTGATATGACACAATTATTTCAAATCCAAAATGTGATTTAATGATAGCAAAAAAGTACCATCCTATCACATCACCATACACTTTGTGGGATATTGAGTGATTTAATATTATCCCTGTACTTTGTGCCACCTCATTAGTTATGAAAGACAAAGCCTCTAGCATTTGAGAGCAGGAATCAGAATATTTAAATTTATGATGTACAAGGTCCTTCGGTGCTTTTCAATGTTTCTTACTAATATGATTTTACATGTATTTTTTTAAATATATATATATATATATATATATATATATATATATATTTATATAGATAGATAGATATCTTTAAATAGCAACGATATATAATGTTTTTGCAGACCAACTTTAATCTAGCTAAAGTAATTGTTAAAATGGAAGACACATAGATGTTCTTTCTTGCTTATGATTATACTGACCTACATTGAGGACTAAGACAATAACATTTTGACACTAAGTTAAAGGCACATTTCTGATGTCTGATATTTTTTACCTGAATTACGATTACATGCTGCAACCCTTAAGCACATTACATTAACATGCTTCAGCGAGTGCAACAGCATTTGCTACGTCTGTACACATATGTATTACTCACTCTTTATGACCTTGACTTCTTTACGTAACATTTGCTGCTTTGCATTTGAATGAAAAGTGAATATAAGCTTTAATTGTATTTCTTCGTTGTTAACAAGAGATGTTGTTAACACTTGTTTAAATATTATACAGGATATAATTAGTAAAACTAAAAGTCTTAAAAAATTAAATATTTTTAGCAACAAAGATAGATAGATAGATAGATAGATAGATAGATAGATAGATAGATAGATATGACACCTACATAGTTACATAGTTAGTCTAGCTGAAAAAAGACAAAAAAGTCCATCCAGTTCAACCATAAAAAAAAAAAAAAAGTTATAATCCTATACCTCCTATACCCACAGTTGATCCAGAGGAAGGCAAAAAACCCCAGCAAAGCATGATACAATTTGCTCCTGCTGGGAAAAAAATTCCTTCCTGATCCCCCAAGAGGCAATCGGATATTCCCTGGATCAACTTTACCTATAAATGTTAGTATCCAGTTATATTCTGTGTATCTAAGAAAGAATCCAGGCGTTTTTAGAAGCAATCCACTGAGCTGGCCAGAACCAACTCTTGTGGGAGTCTATTCCACATTTTCATAGCTCTTACTGTGAAGAAACCTTTCCGTGTTTGGAGATTAAATGTATTTTTCCTCCAGACGTAGAGTGCCCTCTTGTCCTCTGTGATGACCTCAGGATGAATAGCTCCTGTCAGGAAAGGACTCACCAGTGATGGTGCTGATGGGCTGCAGTACCAGTTCTTACCAGCGGGTGCTTTTCAGCAGCCAGGATCTCACCTCCTGCAATCAAGCCATCGCCTGAGGCTGATTGCAGGAGGTGTATTTATGCAGTAACCAGGCCTGCAATCAGTGCCTTGGTGTATTGTTCCCTTGAGCACCTGCTACCTGTTCTGTGTCATGTCTTCCCCTACGTTGGATTGCTGTACACACAAATATTGGGTGAAGGGTTTTGATTGTTTGGGTTTGTTTGCACTGTATGTTGTTATACACTGTGGTAGCTCACATTAAATTATATTTTACATCACACCTGAAGCCTGCGATTCCCTGTGTCAGTCCACACATTTCTGGTCATATCCGGGTTTCTGACATAACACCAAGGCCAGTCCTGACCAGAAGTGGCTGCACAGGGAAGCCATCTTGGCTTGTTGTTTGTGAAGGATGCATCCTGAGGAGGTTGTGTACTTGTCTCTGCTAGCAATAGAAGACAGGGAATACTGCTATCAGATACTGAAGGAGTATGCCAGGGATCAGCTGCTAGAGTGCATGCAGGGTACTCATTCTTTAGTTGATCAGGGCAGGTTGTTTTCTGAGGTGCAGCCATTGATTCAGGCTTGTGCTGAATTGGCTCTGTCCAGTACCCCTGAAAGCAGGGATGACTTTTCTTCGCCATTCAGTACAGATCATGTAGAGACACTGGTATGGTTGCTGGAGGATGATCCGGATTGCTTCTTGGAACATTAATCAGCATGTTCACCACATGTGCTTGTGGATTGTATAAACGCAGTGCAGTCTTTGGTCAGACAGGCTATGTGTAAGCTGAGCTTTGTTCAACCAGTACTACAGACATGGTCAGATTTGTTACACCCAGCCTCAGTCAGCTTGCAAGAACCCAGTCCTGCTTCTAATAATTCATTTTCTCAGAGCTCTCTGCCTCCATTCCCCACAGCACCCCCAGTTACAGCTCAGTATACCCTGCTATAAACCGCATGTCAGTCCTCTGTAGCATCTGCTTCCTTCTCTGTTCCATCCTTCAGCTCTTCTCTGTCTTCAGCTGCTCCCTCCATTTATAGCCCTGCATTCACTTGCAGTGCTCCAGTAACTAAACCCAAGAAGAAGCGAAAATTCTTTCCAACCAGTACCATCCTGCCAGTATCCAAATCGGCCAACCTGCGGTCTGAGAACCCGCCTTCTGTTATCCAGCCTGATGCTCTGATCTCTGCTATCCAGCCTGATGCCCCGATGTACATTATCCAGCCTGATGCCTTGATGCCTGCTATCCAGCCTGATGTTCCGATGCCTGTTATCCGGCCTGATGCCCCGATGCCTGCTATCCAACCTGATGCCCCGATGCCTGCTATCCAACCATGGTAACAGGTTCTGCCCTCTTAATGCCAGCCCCACATGGAGCATGGCCTTTGTCTCTGGCAGGCACAGAGCACAAGAGAAGCAGGGCTGTGTCATTCCCGCAGAGATAGAGGAGGGGGCACACAGCGACAGGAGTGCAGCCTGCATGTGGCAAATCCACATGCAGGCACAGCAGGGAGGCCGACTGGCTGGTGCACAGCCAATGGGACAGGTTGCAGCCTCAGCAGGGGGCAGACTTTTGTTGGCAGCAGGGAGGGGTAGACAAGCCATGTGATGACCCCCTCCATTCTACAAATGCTACCAGGGTAACCTCAACAGGTTCTCCTTGAGGCACTTGTGGACCACATTTCTTTTGCTGTGGGTCTTGTTGACGGGATAGCCCATCCACATTTTGGTGTTGGGTTCCCCTTCGGTACTGGATAGTAAAGTTGTATAGTAGTAAAGC